CTAGTAATTCTGTTTAAGCTTTATAACAAATCATTCATTTTTGAGCTTATGCATAGGCACACATTTCTGAACTATTACTTATTTATCTTGTCAGGTAAAAACTGGATAAAGTCAATGATTCTCACAGCATCTCTATTTCCATTTATGTGCTTTGGAATTGGGTTCGTCTTGAACACCATTGCTATATTCTATGGGTCTCTAGCAGCTATTCCTTTTGGCACAATGGTGGTTGTTTTTGTTATTTGGGCTTTCATCTCTTTTCCTCTAGCACTTCTTGGCACAGTTGTTGGAAGAAACTGGAGTGGTGCTCCTAATAATCCCTGTCGTGTGAAAACCATTCCTCGTCCTATTCCTGAGAAGAAATGGTATTTAACCCCATCTGTTGTCTCAATGATGGGAGGACTTCTGCCCTTTGGAAGCATATTTATCGAAATGTATTTTGTCTTCACATCCTTCTGGAATTACAAGGTGAAATTTCAATAACTGTGTACTGTTAAAATTAATATAGTAGACTCGCTGATGGGCAAAAAATTAATGATTATGATATGGCAGTGCCAATCTGTAGAGCAAAGTTACAAAAGTTGGAGGAGTCACTATGACACCCATCTTTAAGTCATGGCAATTATGAAAATGAATGTAATGATATGGACATGGGTTTTGATAGCTGAATTATATATCTTGAAACCAATGATTCCTGATGTGTCTTGGGAATCATTTGTTTACCAAACACCGGTGAAGTTCTGTAATAGCATATCTGAGAGGATTCTATATCGTTTAGAAAGCTTTTGCTCTATTGTGGTAAAAGTAGCTGATACTTTGTTACACATTATGAGCATGAATAATAACGGTTTTCTTGGTTTTTGTGGCTTAACAGGTGTACTATGTCTATGGCTTTATGCTTCTTGTTTTTCTGATTCTCATCATTGTTACTGTATGTGTGACTATTGTGGGGACATACTTCTTGCTTAATGCTGAGAACTACCACTGGCAATGGACTTCATTCTTTTCTGCTGCATCAACAGCCGTCTACGTGTACTTGTATTCAATATATTACTACTATGCGAAGACTAAGATGTCAGGTTTCTTCCAGACCAGCTTCTATTTTGGGTACACTTTGATGTTTTGCCTTGGCTTAGGAATTCTCTGTGGTGAGTTTTCTCTTTTACTTTAACTTCTGGTATAATGCAACATCCCTGTTGATTTTTATTTCCACTTCAAGGATATGGGTACTCACTTTGTGACCGAAGTATATAAACGGTGCAGGTTTTTATATTTCTGCAGTTACTTTTTGACGTATGTTATTTTTTCGGGGTTTGTTTGGATTTTTCTGTTTTCCTTTATCTTGGTGCATATCTGAAAGGTTTACTGTAACTCGATGAACCTGCACTATGCCAAGTTACTAAGAAGAAATTCAAGTGCCATGTTCTCCCATCTGATGATAAATATAAAAAAGATATTAGCAAAAAAAAATGTTTTCACTTGTGTTTCATTTCTCTCCTTTTGAATGTGTAGGAGCTGTTGGATATCTGGGCTCTAATTTGTTTGTGAGGAGGATCTACAGAAACATCAAGTGTGACTAGTGTTTCTCCGAGAGAAAATGGTCCTGATGGAGCTTCCGTGAGTACATTGGTCGTTGTTGAGGCGATAGATTCTGATTGGAAGCTACATATGGTCAGGGATGGGGATCCAGTAACCTCTACAGATTAAAATCACAGGGTTTGAGGATAGGGATGTATTCTTTCTCTGGACTTGGGAAAGCCCTGAGATTTTTTTTGTTTTCCCCGGCTGTAAGTGAAAGCCTTAATTTTAGATTGCAGAGATTGTTTTATAATCTAAGAAAGTTAGCAGATGTCGAACTCGCCTGTTACTTTATTATTTTCTTTTTCGACCTTTTACAAATAGGTGCCCCATTACTCTTTCAATCTGTACGGCCTTGGGATGGATGAAAAGAGGGGAAAGACTTTCTGAAATGAACTTTTGCTTCTCGGTTATGTAACGACTTGTGAATTTTGATTCCATCTGTACCCTGCATATATAAGTATCATTGTCTCAAACCACACATTTGTGAGGTAATAATTTTGTGTTTGTTCATTTTCTTTTCGAAAATTCTTATTTTTTGGTGCCTGTAAGTCTCTGTCATGATCAAATCTCTTACATGCTGTTTTGTTTCATATTTTTTTTTATTTTCTGGATATGAGTCACAAATTGAGGTTAATCTTAAGATTAAGCCAGTAATTTCAAGTGGCCATAATCTCTTGCCGCCTCCAGACACCAAAAGAAATTCTTAACCTCTGGTATTATAGTTATCTTACAACCAGTAATGTATTAACCACTAACCACCATTAATCCCTTAGGATTATCTCCACCGCTATTTTTTTAATTATTTATTTATTTAGGGTATTTTGTTTCTTTGGCCTGCTAGCTACTTGAAATAAGACCAAAAACCTGGTTAAGAGGATTGTGCCCACCACACGTTCGCTCATCAGTGACCACTGAACTGTTGAAACACTCTCCAGAGATGGTCCTCCTGTGGTGATAATGAAAAGATAGAGCTAGCCACAAGATGTTGCCACGTGGCAGATAAGGGTTGATGCCACTTCATACTTGTCTCATTTGTAGCCACACTATCTCCACAAGCCATCCCATTATCTACACTACTATAAGCCTTTCCCACTTTCTTTAGCTCCAAAGCACAAACCAACCTCTCAACCTTCCAAGTGGTAGCTAGCTAGCTTAGCTAAACCAGTAACCAAACATGGCAGCTCTATCTGGCACAATGGTGAGCACCTCTTTCATCCGCGGCCAGCCGATGACCAGCCTACGGTTAGCCCCCAACATGGGCCAGGCTCTTTTCGGGTTGAAGGCCAACCGTGGAGGGGGTGTGACAATGGCTGCTTTCAAGGTGAAGCTGCTGACACCAGAAGGGCCACAAGAGTTTGAGTGCCCGGATGATGTTTACATTCTTGACGCCGCGGAGGAGGCCGGTATCGACCTACCCTACTCTTGCAGGGCTGGTTCTTGCTCTTCATGTGCTGGCAAAGTTGTGGAAGGGGGTGTGGACCAGTCAGATCAGAGCTTCCTTGATGATGAACAGATTGATGGTGGATTTGTCCTTACTTGTGTGGCTTATCCTTCATCTGATGTTGTGCTTGAGACCCACAAGGAAGAGGAGCTCACTGGTTAAGCGTGATCGCTATGTTTCACTGTGCTTGTTGCTGTCTCCCCCTTGAATTTTCTGTATTATCATGTTTTGATGGCTGCTGGTTGGCTTAGTTTCTAATTAAATGAGTTGCTTAATGTTTTTCTACTCTCATTTCTAGTATGAAACTTGTAAACCCTTGTATTAATTTTCTCTTAAATTTTCTCTCTCTCTCTCATATGTCTTACAAGCCAGACTTAACTGATAATGGAAATCAATTTGAGCATTGCTTAACAAGATATACATCAAGTTTTCCGCCACTACTATTTCAAACATGAACCCTAACTGGTATATTGAACTCAGCAGCTTTACAATCTAGCTCGGCTTCTGAGATAACTTCTATTTCACCATGCCCAAAAAAAAAAGCATATGAAGCCTCAACTGGCTAAATTGTCAGACAATACTTTGAACTCTTGTTTGACGAGTCAAGAACTCATGTTTTCTGAAACAACTAGAGTATCCACTTTTTCTTCCACTCCATTGCCTTCATCACCTTCGTCACCAATCGTTCGAGGTTGCAATGCCCTAATTCTTACCGATTCGGATAAATACTCTGCCACTCGGAACAAGTAGTCATGTTGGGGTGGTTCAGAAGTCTCAAGATTGAACCAACCTCTCATCAATTGTTGTATCAACCGGATAACTATTACCAAGTGGTTTTTCATGAAGCATGTGATCTCTCAAAAACTCAATATAATTCCCATGATTGAGAGAAGAGGCAACCTCACAACTGAGAAAAAATATTCAATGACTGCAAAGAAAATTTTAGTCATGCACCGTATGACAATTTCTTTGTATTACTCAGCTACCAATTTCCATTTACTATTAAACACAAATCTTTGATCTTTAATTTTTTTTTTCTATTGGTAATATGAATGATCTTTATAACATGTTTATTTTATTCCAATTTTGATCCCCCAAAATTATGCAAATTTCATGTTAAAATTCGTAACAGTAATGCTAGAGGAACTAACTCTTTTACCAACTTTGGATACCAACTAATGTGGCAAGTGACATAACAATCCATGTCATGTGCCACATCATTTTTTTTAAATTTATATATTTGTTTTTTTACAACCGATTATATGAACTCTTTTTTTTTTTATAAACCATTTTAATTCATTTAACTTTAATATGTTTTTTCTCTAAAAAAACTTTAATATGTTGTGGTCTTCCTTACCCCCACCGTAGCTCCTTCTTAAACCCAGTCACCACCACCAGAGCCGTCCATTGCCGCCCAATGTCATGGCCATCGCATTCCTCTGGTAGTCATCACCAACATAGTAGCCCTATCTTTTTTCATAAAGGAGTAGGTGCGATGTTCTTTAGAAAACTCAAGATTTTTTCTTTCTCTGTCTTTTTTCTAAATAACTCATGAATCAACCATAACTACAATTGTCTTTGTATCCTTTGGTCTGTACAATACCTCTCTGATTGACGAAAGAGAAATACCACAAACCAAATAAATATAATGTAGTTTATATAATGTGCACTTTTATTGGTAGAAAGATTATAGAAAATGAAAGTACAAAACAAAAATGTTTATTAGATTTTAAGTTAATAACTTCAGCTAACCCATCCGTTGAAAAATTTCTGGTTTCGTCCTTGAATTTAATCCTTGTGTTTGTATATGTTAACAAATGTGGTCGTTTTCGTCAAAATTCTGTTAAAACTTTTATAAAAAAAATACATTTAAAATTATTTTTAAAAAGTTTGGGCATCTGGGTTGGGCTTACTGTTTCTTTCACTCAAAGCATGCAATTAAAACGATGCGTATTTGTAATTAGGGTACCGTTATCTTCTTCACGTGTTAGCCGCGTCTTCTTCGCAGAGCAACTGCAACTGCAGATTCGCAATAGCTGCAAGCGCAAGTAAGTTATTTTCTTCTTCCTTCTTCTTCTTTCTTCTCCACCGCCGAAACCAGTAAAAACTACCCTCTGTCGAATCCAGAAGAAGTATATTGCGAAATAACCCCCACCATATCCTTGACCGTATCGCTCGTGTGTCCATGGCGTATCGAAGACGTACCGGATGGTCAACATAACAGAAAAGCCCACGATACGTCGTTTTCCGTATACGTATCGGAGGAGTATCCGATACGAGCATACCCCTCGCCGGCGTATTGGTGCAACATAGCTTGTAACAGTTCGACATTTGGTTCAATTATTCCTGAACCGGCGTTTATCCAAAACCGAACCGATACTAGCAGCCGAGTCATTAACCGACTCGAAAATACCATAGGGTGCTAAACCCTCTTTGATTTGTCTCCTCCATCTCGTCGTTTCTTCTTCCTCCTCCGTCCTCACTCGACTCACATTCACATTCACCCATCTCTTTCTCTCTTCCTCGCAGTCTGTTTCCCTCTGTGATTGGTCTTCCTCGCCGTCGCTTTCCCTCCCTCTGCGGTTGAGGTTTTAGGTTATAGGGTTTATAATACGGCTACAACTTTTTCTCTCTGATAATAGAATTTATAAGTCTTAGGTTATCTGTAAAAGCAGAGCTTAATCACAATGAAGGTGAATGTAATATCTCGGTCCACAGATGAATACACTAAAGAACGAAGCCAAGACCTCCAGGTGAGTTTTCACTTCTCTCTTACTCTCAACTCAAATTTCTTCGTTTTTTTTCTCTATATGAATACGATTTTTGGTTCAATCTCCGTAGAGGGTATTCCGTAATTTCGACCCCAGCATCCGAACGCAAGAGAAAGCAGTGGAATATGTCCGGGCATGTAATGCCGCAAAATTAGAGAAGGCATGTTTTGGGATTTGGATTGTATATTTTTTTTCTGAATTTTAATTGCATTAAATATTTGGGCATATGGATGCTAAATTTGATTGAATTATGTTTGTTTTTGCTGTTGTTGGTAATTTAGATTTTTGCGAGGCCATTTGTTGGAGCAATGGATGGACATATAGATTCAATTTCCTGTATGGCAAAGAATCCAAACCATTTGACCAGAATATTTTCTGGTTCAATGGATGGAGGTACTTTGTTCTCTCTTAAAATTTCTAATGCCTTTTCTCTCTAGTTGGTATCCTATACTGCTTCTAAATCTAAGAAAAGCAAGTACCAAGAATTCATCTTAAGAAAAAGAACTGTGGCGATTTCTAATTAATACTTTTAGATTATAGAACTTTTAATATACTACTTTATTAAGCTATCGAGTTTGAATTTGCTTTAATTTCTCAACCCATTATAGTGTTTGATATTTCTTTTCTTTGGCAGATATTCGGCTCTGGGATATAGCTTCCAGGTAACCACACACTGCTGAATCGAGTTGCTCAATTTCATACAGATGGGTTAGAATCTCAGTATTAGGCACTCTTCTGTAGAGAATCCACGTATGCTTTTCTCATGTGGAGTGTTATATGATTTAATTGAGATTCGGACCACTGTTCCTGGATTTGTTTTTTAATCTATAGTTCAAATCCTTTAATAGTCATTTCAATACTTCATGCATAAGGCATTGAAATTTATTGTATTTGTTACATTCATTGGACCCAAAAAAGGCGAACAGTTTGTCAATTTCCTGGTCACCAAGGTGCTGTGCAAGGTTTAGCAGTATCTACAGATGGGCGTGTTCTTGTTTCTTGCGGAACTGACAGCACGTAAGGCATAACCTCCTGGGTTACTCCCATATCTATACATTTGATTGTATCTATCCATTTATGAAGATTGTTCATGTTGAAATCACTATCTTCCATTTTCAGTGTCAGGCTTTGGGGTGTACCTGTTTCTACTCTTCTGGAGGATGATGTCTCATCTGATAAATCTGCTGTGGTATTGCCTTACTAATAGTGTGATATGTCGCTCCAATGGATGATTTTTCTATATTATATGTACCTAACTAATTATAAATTATATTTGCAGCCACTGGAAACTTATGTTTGGAAGAATGCATTTCGGTAAGTTTCTTATTGATTTCTCGGAGGAGATGTTACTTAATTAGTTAGTTTTACAAATTAATTGACATGTGCTATGATTTTTATGGGTTTTACTATTAAGGTTTACTTTCTCATTTTCAGGGCTGTTGATCACCAGTGGAATTTTGATCGTTTTGCTACAGGTGGAGCTGGAGTAGATATATGGAACCACAACAGGTTTTGATCTGGCCTGGTTATTCTTCTATTAAGTTGAAGAAAAAAAAAACTGTTTATCCCTCTTACCATGACAATATACTTTGTGATGCATAGGTCTGCACCAGAGCAGAGTTTTGAATGGGGAACAGACACAGTTGTATCTATAAAATTTAATCCTGGACAGCCAGATATCTTGGCAACATCCGCAAGGTCTGCATTATTGCTTGTAGATAAGATACTCATCTAGTTCCAAAAACTTGTATGTTAAGCACACGAGATACCATGTGCTTGTTTATAATGGTTTTTGGTCTGGATACATTGGTTTCTAATTTGAGTTTTGAGTTATATTTGTTTTGCTTAATAAGGAATGGTACTGATAAAAGACTTTGTATTTAGCATCTTGGAAAACAAATGGTTTCTTGTAAAAGAAGGTTCAGCTGCAAAGGGCAGCTTGTCTGCTGGTCAGCATCCATTTTTTCTTATGAAAACATCTTCCTCCTCCCCTTTGTACTCTCTTCCACATTGTAGTAAATATTACCAAAAATCTGAATCTCTCTTTGAAAATTGTTGTGAACATGTGGCAAAGTGCCAAACCGACAATTAGTTTATCCATTTGAGGAAGTTGGTGGTTCTATTGTTACAGTGGCATGATTGTTTTCAATCCATGCTTTCTGTAATGATTTTATTTTATATTTCCTTGTTTGTTTGCTTTCATTTCTAAAATTAAGTTATGATATTATTGTATTTAGGAGAGAATAATATATGATTTTTTTTATGGCAGTGATCGCAGCATAGCAATATATGACTTGCGCATGGGGAAACCAGCAGCGAAGTTTATTATGAGGGTATTGTTAATGTTAACTTAAGGGTTCTTAGCAACATTCGTACAGTCTCTTAAATTTTTGCATGTATTGGCCTTTCTGACTTACATTTTCTTTGGACAGACAAGAACCAATTCCATTTCTTGGAATCCAATGGAGCCAATCAACTTCACTGCTGTAAGCATGTAACCTAAAGTTACTTAAGGATTTGGATTTGTCATAGTTTTGTATTTCTGATATTTGCATTACGTAAGGCATTTGCTTCAGATTATCTTAGTGTTTCGGGTTGAAGGCCAACCGTGGAGGGGGTGTGACAATGGCTGCTTTCAAGGTGAAGCTGCTGACACCAGAAGGGCCACAAGAGTTTGAGTGCCCGGATGATGTTTACATTCTTGACGCCGCGGAGGAGGCCGGTATCGACCTACCCTACTCTTGCAGGGCTGGTTCTTGCTCTTCATGTGCTGGCAAAGTTGTGGAAGGGGGTGTGGACCAGTCAGATCAGAGCTTCCTTGATGATGAACAGATTGATGGTGGATTTGTCCTTACTTGTGTGGCTTATCCTTCATCTGATGTTGTGCTTGAGACCCACAAGGAAGAGGAGCTCACTGGTTAAGCGTGATCGCTATGTTTCACTGTGCTTGTTGCTGTCTCCCCCTTGAATTTTCTGTATTATCATGTTTTGATGGCTGCTGGTTGGCTTAGTTTCTAATTAAATGAGTTGCTTAATGTTTTTCTACTCTCATTTCTAGTATGAAACTTGTAAACCCTTGTATTAATTTTCTCTTAAATTTTCTCTCTCTCTCTCATATGTCTTACAAGCCAGACTTAACTGATAATGGAAATCAATTTGAGCATTGCTTAACAAGATATACATCAAGTTTTCCGCCACTACTATTTCAAACATGAACCCTAACTGGTATATTGAACTCAGCAGCTTTACAATCTAGCTCGGCTTCTGAGATAACTTCTATTTCACCATGCCCAAAAAAAAAAGCATATGAAGCCTCAACTGGCTAAATTGTCAGACAATACTTTGAACTCTTGTTTGACGAGTCAAGAACTCATGTTTTCTGAAACAACTAGAGTATCCACTTTTTCTTCCACTCCATTGCCTTCATCACCTTCGTCACCAATCGTTCGAGGTTGCAATGCCCTAATTCTTACCGATTCGGATAAATACTCTGCCACTCGGAACAAGTAGTCATGTTGGGGTGGTTCAGAAGTCTCAAGATTGAACCAACCTCTCATCAATTGTTGTATCAACCGGATAACTATTACCAAGTGGTTTTTCATGAAGCATGTGATCTCTCAAAAACTCAATATAATTCCCATGATTGAGAGAAGAGGCAACCTCACAACTGAGAAAAAATATTCAATGACTGCAAAGAAAATTTTAGTCATGCACCGTATGACAATTTCTTTGTATTACTCAGCTACCAATTTCCATTTACTATTAAACACAAATCTTTGATCTTTAATTTTTTTTTTCTATTGGTAATATGAATGATCTTTATAACATGTTTATTTTATTCCAATTTTGATCCCCCAAAATTATGCAAATTTCATGTTAAAATTCGTAACAGTAATGCTAGAGGAACTAACTCTTTTACCAACTTTGGATACCAACTAATGTGGCAAGTGACATAACAATCCATGTCATGTGCCACATCATTTTTTTTAAATTTATATATTTGTTTTTTTACAACCGATTATATGAACTCTTTTTTTTTTTATAAACCATTTTAATTCATTTAACTTTAATATGTTTTTTCTCTAAAAAAACTTTAATATGTTGTGGTCTTCCTTACCCCCACCGTAGCTCCTTCTTAAACCCAGTCACCACCACCAGAGCCGTCCATTGCCGCCCAATGTCATGGCCATCGCATTCCTCTGGTAGTCATCACCAACATAGTAGCCCTATCTTTTTTCATAAAGGAGTAGGTGCGATGTTCTTTAGAAAACTCAAGATTTTTTCTTTCTCTGTCTTTTTTCTAAATAACTCATGAATCAACCATAACTACAATTGTCTTTGTATCCTTTGGTCTGTACAATACCTCTCTGATTGACGAAAGAGAAATACCACAAACCAAATAAATATAATGTAGTTTATATAATGTGCACTTTTATTGGTAGAAAGATTATAGAAAATGAAAGTACAAAACAAAAATGTTTATTAGATTTTAAGTTAATAACTTCAGCTAACCCATCCGTTGAAAAATTTCTGGTTTCGTCCTTGAATTTAATCCTTGTGTTTGTATATGTTAACAAATGTGGTCGTTTTCGTCAAAATTCTGTTAAAACTTTTATAAAAAAAATACATTTAAAATTATTTTTAAAAAGTTTGGGCATCTGGGTTGGGCTTACTGTTTCTTTCACTCAAAGCATGCAATTAAAACGATGCGTATTTGTAATTAGGGTACCGTTATCTTCTTCACGTGTTAGCCGCGTCTTCTTCGCAGAGCAACTGCAACTGCAGATTCGCAATAGCTGCAAGCGCAAGTAAGTTATTTTCTTCTTCCTTCTTCTTCTTTCTTCTCCACCGCCGAAACCAGTAAAAACTACCCTCTGTCGAATCCAGAAGAAGTATATTGCGAAATAACCCCCACCATATCCTTGACCGTATCGCTCGTGTGTCCATGGCGTATCGAAGACGTACCGGATGGTCAACATAACAGAAAAGCCCACGATACGTCGTTTTCCGTATACGTATCGGAGGAGTATCCGATACGAGCATACCCCTCGCCGGCGTATTGGTGCAACATAGCTTGTAACAGTTCGACATTTGGTTCAATTATTCCTGAACCGGCGTTTATCCAAAACCGAACCGATACTAGCAGCCGAGTCATTAACCGACTCGAAAATACCATAGGGTGCTAAACCCTCTTTGATTTGTCTCCTCCATCTCGTCGTTTCTTCTTCCTCCTCCGTCCTCACTCGACTCACATTCACATTCACCCATCTCTTTCTCTCTTCCTCGCAGTCTGTTTCCCTCTGTGATTGGTCTTCCTCGCCGTCGCTTTCCCTCCCTCTGCGGTTGAGGTTTTAGGTTATAGGGTTTATAATACGGCTACAACTTTTTCTCTCTGATAATAGAATTTATAAGTCTTAGGTTATCTGTAAAAGCAGAGCTTAATCACAATGAAGGTGAATGTAATATCTCGGTCCACAGATGAATACACTAAAGAACGAAGCCAAGACCTCCAGGTGAGTTTTCACTTCTTTCTTACTCTCAACTCAAATTTCTTCCTTTTTTTTCTCTATAAAAATATGATTTTTGGTTCAATCTCCGTAGAGGGTATTCCGTAATTTCGACCCCAACATCCGAACGCAAGAGAAAGCAGTGGAGTATGTCCGGGCATGTAACGCCGCAAAATTAGAGAAGGCATGTTTTGGGATTTGGATTGTAATATTTGTTTTCTGAATTTTTGATTGCATTGCATATTTGGGCATATGGATGCTGAATTTGATTGAATTATGTTTGTTTTTGTTGTTGTTCTTAATTTAGATTTTTGCGAGGCCATTTGTTGGAGCAATGGATGGACATATAGATTCTATTTCCTGTATGGCAAAGAATCCAAACCATTTGACATGAATATTTTCTGGTTCAATGGATGGAGGTACTTTTTTTTCTCTTAAAATTTCTAATGCCTTTTCTCTCTAGATGGTATCCTATACTACTGCTAAATCTAAGAAAAGCAAGTACCAAGATTTCATCTTAAGAAAAAGAACCGTGGCGATTTCTTATTAATACTTTTAGATTATAGAGCTTTTAATATGCTTTGTTATTAAGCTATCGAGTTTGAATTTGCTTTAATTCCTCAACCCATTATAGTGTTTGATATTTCTTTTCTTTGGCAGATATTCGGCTCTGGGATATAGCTTCCAGGTAACCACACACTGCTGAATCGAGTTGCTCAATTTCATACAGATGGGTTAGAATCTCAGTATTAGGCACTCTTCTGTAGAGAATCCACGTATGCTTTTCTCATGTGGAGTGTTATATGATTTAATTGAGATTCGGACCACTGTTCCTGGATTTGTTTTTTAATCTATAGTTCAAATCCTTTAATAGTCATTTCAATACTTCATGCATAAGGCATTGAAATTTATTGTATTTGTTACATTCATTGGACCCAAAAAAGGCGAACAGTTTGTCAATTTCCTGGTCACCAAGGTGCTGTGCAAGGTTTAGCAGTATCTACAGATGGGCGTGTTCTTGTTTCTTGCGGAACTGACAGCACGTAAGGCATAACCTCCTGGGTTACTCCTGTCTCTATATGTTTAATTGTATCTATCCGGTTATGAAGATTGTTCATGTTGAAATCACTATCTTCCATTTTCAGTGTCAGGCTTTGGGGTGTACCTGTTTCTACTCTTCTGGAGGAAGATGTCTCATCTGATAAATCTGCTGTGGTATTGCCTTACTAATAGTGTGATATGTCGCTCCAATGGATGATTTTTCTATATTATATGTACCTAACTAATTATAAATTATATTTGCAGCCACTGGAAACTTATGTTTGGAAGAATGCATTTCGGTAAGTTTCTTATTGATTTCTCGGAGGAGATGTTACTTAATTAGTTAGTTTTACAAATTAATTGACATGTGCTATGATTTTTATGGGTTTTACTATTAAGGTTTACTTTCTCATTTTCAGGGCTGTTGATCACCAGTGGAATTTTGATCGTTTTGCTACAGGTGGAGCTGGAGTAGATATATGGAACCACAACAGGTTTTGATCTGGCCTGGTTATTCTTCTATTAAGTTGAAGAAAAAAAAAACTGTTTATCCCTCTTACCATGACAATATACTTTGTGATGCATAGGTCTGCACCAGAGCAGAGTTTTGAATGGGGAACAGACACAGTTGTATCTATAAAATTTAATCCTGGACAGCCAGATATCTTGGCAACATCCGCAAGGTCTGCATTATTGCTTGTAGATAAGATACTCATCTAGTTCCAAAAACTTGTATGTTAAGCACACGAGATACCATGTGCTTGTTTATAATGGTTTTTGGTCTGGATACATTGGTTTCTAATTTGAGTTTTGAGTTATATTTGTTTTGCTTAATAAGGAATGGTACTGATAAAAGACTTTGTATTTAGCATCTTGGAAAACAAATGGTTTCTTGTAAAAGAAGGTTCAGCTGCAAAGGGCAGCTTGTCTGCTGGTCAGCATCCATTTTTTCTTATGAAAACATCTTCCTCCTCCCCTTTGTACTCTCTTCCACATTGTAGTAAATATTACCAAAAATCTGAATCTCTCTTTGAAAATTGTTGTGAACATGTGGCAAAGTGCCAAACCGACAATTAGTTTATCCATTTGAGGAAGTTGGTGGTTCTATTGTTACAGTGGCATGATTGTTTTCAATCCATGCTTTCTGTAATGATTTTATTTTATATTTCCTTGTTTGTTTGCTTTCATTTCTAAAATTAAGTTATGATATTATTGTATTTAGGAGAGAATAATATATGATTTTTTTTGGCAGTGATCGCAGCATAGCAATATATGACTTGCGCATGGGGAAACCAGCAGCGAAGTTTATTATGAGGGTATTTATGCCAAATCACCACTTTCTGATTCAGTCCTCTATTTTACTGTTGTTAATGTTAACTTAAGGATTCTTAGCAACATTCGTGCTGTCTCTTAAATTTTTGCATGTATTGGCCTTTCTGACTTACATTTTCTTTGGACAGACAAGAACCAATTCCATTTCTTGGAATCCAATGGAGCCAATCAACTTCACTGCTGTAAGCATGTAACCTAAAGTTACTTAAGGATTTGGATTTGTCATAGTTTTGTATTTCTGATATTTGCATTACGTAAGGCATTTGCTTCAGATTATCTTAGTGCGTCCTTTTCATGGTATTAGGATTTTTGATCATTACATATGTTTCTAAGTTGAGTTTGGAACGGAACTTTAGATCTGTCTACCGACTGTAATTTGGTAATATCATTTGGAGCAACTTCCTCTGTGCAAAAACCTTCTAACCACATGTAAAATATTGGAATATCATGGTTACACTTATTATTGGTTTTTAGGAAACATCCTGATGAGGACATCTTTGTCAAACCCTTTAGGGTTTACAAACAAAAAAGATGGAAGAGGAAATTATTTAATTTGGTCTTCAAATCCTGCAATTTTGGAGCAATACATGATTTCTGCGTTTTTAACTTGATTTCTAAGTTTTCTATACTTTCAGCATTTCTTGTTTGACTAGGATTTGGTTTACTTATTTTATTAGATTTAGATTTAATTACCTTTTCTATTTGGTTTAGGATTTCTTTCCTAGGATAAGTTTAATTTCATTTCCAGAGATTGGAGACTCCTTGGTGTGAAGCCAATCTTCTTTACCATCTACTTTCTGTTTTGTCATTGTTTTCTCTTCCGCTAAATTACCCAAACACTCAATTCACCCATATCCTACATCACATCCCTATGATGTCATAAACCTTGTAATCTGATGACTTCCAGTGGTACACCAATGCTAGAATACGTGGACTTTCTTCCTTGTGTAGCATTTTCTTATCCTATTCCATGAAAGTGCTCATGTAATTCCTCAATGACAGGCAAATGAGGACTCCAATTGCTATAGCTTTGATTCTAGAAAGCTTAATGAAGCTAAGTGTGTGCACAAGGATCATGTATCTGCTGTGTGAGTCGATAATTTTTCAATTGAAATATTTGGTCTTTTTCTCCACTTCTGAAATCCATTTTTCCTGTTGTATATTTAATATGAAAGTTTTATACGCCAAACTTCTTTTTTCCATTTCCAGGATGGATATTGATTATTCTCCAACTGGTCGAGAATTTGTCACTGGATCTTATGACAGAACAGTGAGTTCATTTCTAATATGATTTTGACAATGTTGTCAATGTGTAAATATGGTTGTAGTTCTTTATCAAAAATTTGCCATTTGCAGGTGAGAATTTTCCAGTATAATGGTGGTCACAGCCGGGAAATTTATCATACAAAGAGAATGCAAAGGTTTGGTCTTCATGCATTCCTCTTATTTGGGTTCTCGGATTGGTTGAACATGTGTAATTAGCTTTTATATGCCAATCACTTCGTGCTCCATTTCTTGAACTATGTGGCCATTGGATTCCAGAGTGTTTTGTTTCACATAATAAAATGGAAACTATAGCTTTATGTTGACCTATTTCGTTATTCTGACTCTTTTGTTTCCCTCTTCCTGCTTTTTATGTAGGGTGTTTTGTGTCAAGTTCAGCTGTGATGCTAGTTATGTTATTTCTGGGAGTGATGACACTAATCTTAGGCTTTGGAAGGCTAAAGCATCAGAACAATTGGGAGTTGTAAGATATCTCCTCCTTTCCTCATGTTTCTGTTGTTGACCTTGGGTTGCAATATGGCTTTCTTCTTCTTCCATTACATATTTTCTGAATTCACTCATTTACTTCTTGTATATTACATTGCAAATGTTGAACTGCTTCTTTGTGCGTAGTGTTTTTTAAGGGTTTTTTTTTTTGGATGGATGAAATAAATACATAAATGGTTTGACCATAGAATTTTATTGGTACCATGCACACTATAACCAATGTAGGCTTGAAACACAGAGTCTAGTAACTGCGAGTTGAATGGTTTCTATTGACTTTTTCAATATCTGTACTTTTTTTACATCCCTTCTTTTAGACATCCTAATATAAACTTTTAACTACTTGTTACCTGCAGCTTCTTCCAAGGGAACAGAAAAAGCATGAGTATAATGAGGCTGTCAAGAATCGCTACAAGCACCTTCCGGAAGTCAAGCGTATTGTGAGGTATGATAAAAGGATTCCAGCAATTAGGCTCTTAAATTTGGTCTTTTGTTTTAGAAAAAAGCAAGTAATTATTGTCAATATATTTCCTATTGAGATATTACAAGATCCATCATCTATGCATGTTTCCTATGAAAGATTCTGGGAGTATTTGATGATTTTGTGGGCAGATGTAATAAGCATAGAAAGATGCCCTTTTGATAAATTTCCATGTATAAAACCACCATTGTCCATTTGTTTTAAGTAGCAAATTTTTAATGTATTTAGGACTCTTCCCAGATTAATCTCTATAATATATGAGCTGGTTGCAACTTGTTATAATTTTAGGTCGGGCTTGCAGATTAGCGGTTCCTATATCTTAACATGTGAACCTGATTCATTGGATGTTCCTAAACTAAGCATTACCTTACGTATTTAAGTGATAGCATGCAGTTTCTGCAGAACCCTACAAAGATTGTATGGCCAACTTCAGAGTATCTTCATAAAATAATGAATTGTTCTTTTCTTTTGGGTGGAAACAAATAATGAGTAGCATGTGACATATAAAATGGTTAATCGTTGTGAATGGTGATTCTGCAGGCATAGGCACCTACCAAAACCAGTATACAAGGCAGCTGCAACATTGCGTGAGATGACCGAATCTCGGAGAAAGAAACATGAGAAGAGGAAGGCGCATAGCGCCCCTGGAAGCATCATTGAAGAGCCATTACGGAAAAGAAAAATCATCAAAGTTGAGTGATAAATGTGGGTAGTTTGTAATCGGCTCCTGCATATCCATGTCAGAGAATGGATCTTTCATATGCAATGTTCGTGAGCTGCATACCAGCGCCTTTACAGTTCAATTGATTTCCCAATCACCTATCCTCGTCGTGCACGTGCCGTTTCTATGGTGGCTTTGTCGGACTATGTTTTGTTCATGCTATAGTAACTTTAGGTCAGTGAGGGATTTGTCTTTCTCTTGTTTAGCCTCGTGCAATTTTGTCTGGAAAAATATGTAACTGAATATTGAAAGGTATATTGAGGGGACTAATCTTTTTCAGCCTGTGGACTAAATTACCCGTAATCTCTTGTAATAGACTGCCTAACCCAGAAGTAATACATGGAATTAGAAGTCAATCGCAGACAAAATCACCCTTCGGAACTTGTTTTGTTTGCGGAAAGGAATTAATGAGAAATCAACCTTCATGCCTTTTCTTAGGATTAAGCACACAGTATCACAAATTATAGTAAAAGACAAATTAAAAAAATTGCTATAAATTCCACAATATGCGTCAAACATAACCCACTAAATTGTAAAAGAAAAATAACTAGTATGGTCATCATGCACCAATAACTAGCTTAATCATAATGAGAGACATTTTAGGTCGAATTTTTTTTATGTAATATGAGTCATCAACTACCTAAGAACATTTGCTTAATTGGATTCCACTCAGAAAAAAAGGGTAAATACTTTTAAGGCAACTTTTCCTTAATGGGTTTTACAAAGTAAATTTTGCTTGTAGAAAAGTTGAAGTTTTCTAGTCATTTGCTTAACCATTTGTCTTATCTTTAGAGTGACAAATTTTTTAGAGCATGGCTTGGCTCCTTAAAATTGAGAAGGAGCTCCTCCTCACAACAAATGAGATAATGGCATTGTAAAATTCTAAAAGAAAAAATAGTTCAAGGAATTAAAAAAAAAATCAAGTTCAAGAAATTTAACAAGTGTAAAAACTCTATTTGTTGTGAGAAAGAACTTCTCAATTATAAGGAACCAAGCTTTTTCAATTTGTAATAGGGTACATTTTGAAAGCAACGTTGAGCATGAAATGTGATTTTAGTAATAACTCAAATTTCCAATTTTTCTTTTGTTAGGACAAGTTTCCACATTGGAAAATTAGCATATTATTGAGTGGTTTAAGAGTTCATGGGCACCCTTCCCTTACAACCTTGTTTTTATTGGCAAATTCTACCCATGAATTCCTTGACATTTGGTATCATATCCTAGTTTCACCACGCAACTGGGCCCAATTCCACGAAAAGGGTAACCTATAGGCTAGATTAAGATGATACACGGAAGGGGCGATGTATAGACTCGATTAAAATGATGTCGAGTTATTGAATACTGGTACTTGGGTCAACAAGGACGTTGGATACGAAAGTGTGATGGAATGTTAGGACTAAAGATCACACATTGTAAAAATAGCATAACATATAGTAGTTTAAAAGCGCCAAATTCTACCTATGTGTTCTTAACATTTATTTTTTAACGTTACCCAAATTTCTTAATTTGAATATTGAGAGACTGCCATTTTTTTTCTTCTTAAAATGCAAGAAGAGCTTTGACTTGATCACTGAGGACAGGCAAGTAGGGCCTACAGAATATTCACCTAATCCATTGTCTATCAATAATATAGTGAGTGACAGCTTTAAAGCACTATATTATCATATCATAATTATCATGATAGAATGGAACCAAAAAGAAAAAAGCATGATCTTGATCACCTTGAAATTTTTAGTGTTGAGTTTAATCCAATCAATTAGCAACGTTTACCATATAGGTTAGCATATTTACTTATCAGGAACATGTTCTAATTTCTGTTTATGTATTTATTATCTCGTATTGAAACTATTTCGTTTAAATTTTTTTATTTATTTATTTTAATACAAACTATAGTCTTAACTATACCTTGTTTCTCCTCACCAACAACCAAACAAATGCAGATAATCTAAAAATAATGAAACTCCACTTCATCGCACACACTGCCTGAACAATACAAAATCACACATGGATTCAATTTAACACTGAAACTCAGAAAACCCGTTTTCACATTTCATCTTCTTCTGCAACATTTTCTCTGTCTTTTGGGTCTCTGAGAGAATCAGCCATGGCATTGCAGAGGCAGCTCTTGAAGAAAGCTCTAGGGGAAGCCAAGACCAAGATTGGTGGCTCCCGTTTTTGTCAACGGCCATCTCTCTGCGGTTCTTTCTCTACGGTTCCTTCTTCTGCTGCTGATCATGAGGCTGCTCTGCCTTTGCTGCCGCCGTTTGATTACGAGCCAAAGCCTTACAATGGACCTCGGGGCGATGAGGTCTTCCAGAAGCGAAAGAAGTTTCTGGGTCCTTCTCTTTTCCATTATTATCAGAACCCTGTATGTTTGTTTATCTTTACACTTTCTTTTACCATTTGGATTAAATGCGGCCTGTTTCTGTTTTGGTTGAAATCATTTACCATTTGGATAACTGGTTTGTTTCTCTGTTCTTGGACTTCAGTCCCTCCGGCCGTTTGGCTGCTGAGAAACTGGAGGAAAATTTAATCAAACAGTATTTTCATGAGAAAATTTTAAAAGGAACTGACTATAATATAAAACAAAGTATCAATCTTTTTTTTTTTTTTTTAATCAAGACTTGGGACCTTGGATTTCAGGCCCCATTTATATTTTGTTACATGTATGTTCATTTGAATTAATTATGCACTTTCTCTGTGGCTGGTTCGTTTTATCGTTTGAAAAAAGCTTTACAATGGCTGTCTGGTAAAAAAAAAAACTCATGTTGCTTCTCTTGCCATGCTCCAATCAATAAGAAGTGAAATCTGAGTGACTTTTGACATTTAGCTAAACTCTTTCAATCTTGTATTATTGGTAAGACTGCTTGCCGAGCAATTAATCAGTCAAGTTTTCTGGTAGAGTCTTATGTTGCACGTATCATAGTCGAAAAATTCTGGTTCCAAGGCATAAGGGTGTGCTTATATGGTTTATTGCCTTTGCTCAACACCCCCAGTTCATTTGCTAGTGAATGGAAATTATTTTCCCCCCGCCTGTATGATGTTGCATTTGCTTTTGTGCTACCAGATGTCCCCTTCGATATTAACACAGTTTATGCAGAAACTGATTTCTTTGTTTTATTTATCATTGTGTAAACAGCTCAATATTGTTGAAGGGAAGATGCAATATTTGTTCGATGAGAATGGCAGGGGCTACCTTGATGCTTTTGCTGGGATAGTCACTGTTTCTTGTGGCCATTGCCATCCAGAAGTTTTAAATGCTATCATGGAGCAGAGCAAGCTTCTGCAGCATGCCACAACCATTTACCTGCACCATGCAATAGCTGATTTTGCCGAGGCATTAGCTTCAAAAATGCCTGGAAATTTAAAGGTTCAAGTTCTTCAAACTAGATTTCCAGACAATTTCTGACAATAAATTTTATTTTTTCTTAATGGTAGAAAATTATATATTTGTTTAATTAAGGGCTGCATAAGCTATTATATTTTAGCCTTCCCTTTGAAATGTTAAGTAATAGTACTGAATAAAGCAACAGTGTTATGGTTTATCTGGTTTCAAAACTTGAGATACTTCTCAATTACTGCTAGGACAGAAGACTTCTGGGACTGTTGTGTAATCCATTTTATGTGCTTCATTTATCACCTTATTTTTTACTTGCCAACTACTGAATAGACAATTGTAAACTGCAGGTTGTTTACTTTGTGAATTCTGGGACAGAAGCAAATGAATTAGCAATGTTGATGGCTCGTCTATATAGTGGCAGTCTTGATATGATTTCGTTGAGAAATGCATATCATGGGGGAAGTTCTAATACAATTGGTTTGACCGCTTTGAACACATGGAAGTATCCAATTCCACAGGTTTGTGCAGTAGTCAGTATAGCTCCAAAGATCCATCTTCTGGCATGCTATGTTTAGAATACATCCAAATTTGATATGTCATTACTTTTATAGAGAAACTGGGGAGAAACAGAGTTCCATTTCCAGAGAGGTAGGCAAGGTGATCCATTAACCAGTTTATCACATTTTAATTACAATAACATGTAAATTATTAGTGACATATGTTACCTGTGATATGCGTCTATGCTGTTCAATTTGGTCTCTTGATGTAAACCTGGGTTATGGAAGAATTGTTTCTTATCTTTCTGACACAATTTATGGTTTTGCAGGCACAATATTCTTAAAATAAAAGTTCTAAAAAATGTTAATAAGACTACATTTAATTAAGTTATTTTTTTTTCCATTATGATTAATAGTAGTTATAAACACGCATGGTAGGAAGTTCACTATAGATAATGTCCTATCTTCACAAACTTTCTGCTCTATGACGAGATTGTTTGTAACTCATTCTAACATAGCAAAGCATGCATATGCAATGCACATTGATCAATTCATACTCTTGCCGAGTCTTCAGTCTTTGGCTCATTACTATTTTTTCAGTGTCACCAATATAAAGTTATACAATAATCATACATGAACACTATTGATACACCAACTTCTCTGTCTTAACTACTTACTACTTGCTTTATCATTGCAGGGTGAAATTCATCACGTTGTAAATCCAGATCCATACCATGGAATCTTTGGCTCGGATGCCAAAAGTTATGCTAAAGATGTACAAGATCACATTGATTATGGAACTTCAGGAAAAGTTGCTGGATTTATATCTGAAACAATTCAGGTTGGTACTGAATGTTGTTTAAGATGTGGCATTAAATTTATACATATAATGCCCTGTGCTTAGGAATCTGATACTTAATTCAAAAAAAAATTCTTCACGTTATCTAACTGTAGGGAGTTGGAGGAGCAGTTGAATTGGCACCTGGATATTTAAAACTGGTTTATGACATTGTTCGCAAGGCTGGTGGTGTCTGCATTGCTGATGAAGTACAAACTGGGTTTGGGCGCACAGGAAGCCATTATTGGGGCTTTGAAACGCAGGGTGTCATTCCTGATATAGTTACCATGGCTAAGGTCTTTAAATATCAATTGATAGTTTGTATTTTATCTTTGAAATATGCGGTTTGGTGTTACAACAGTAGTATATGGTTGTGTTGCATGTTTTCACTGTCAGCCTTTTCCTATAGATGAGTTTGATTTTAGTGAAACACAATAACTTATTTACTGAACTATTTACCACTTTATTCCTTTGTTAAAAAATTTCAGGGCATTGGAAACGGGTTGCCATTGGGAGCAGTGGTGACAACACCAGAAATAGCAAGTGTACTAGCCCAGAAGATTCAATTCAACACTTTCGGTGGAAACCCTGTATGCTCTGCTGGAGGGCTTGCAGTGCTCAGAGTTATTGATAAGGAGAAGTGTCAAGTTCATTGCGCTGATGTTGGCTCTCACTTGCTTGGGCGTTTGAGAGATCTTCAGCAAAGATATGAAAGTAACTACTCTTTGAACTTGATGTCTTTAGAATTCTCTCTATTATAGGCATGTATCTCTGGAATTTAAATATTTATCTATAGCCCATGTCATGGCCCTTTGTTAATGGGGAAATCAGCTGAGCCAGTTTTATATTTTTGAATGTAAGCAAAGCTTACTCTGTAGTAGTACACTGAACTACTCTAAGGTTTGTCTCATGATACCTATACTCCTTTTGGTATGATTCGCTACTCAAAAATGTTAAAAATGACAGAAAGTTGGTCTTCCACCAACATTATATTCCAAAAGATGGAGTTACTCTTTTCTTTTAATTTCCCTAGATATAGTTAGCTAACCTCATTAGAGGTTTATTGTGCTTAGACTTGATTCTATTGCCTCGCTCTATACTTTGCCTTGTAGAATCAGTTGAGTCCTGACTGATTGTTTGCAATTTGGTGCTCCTCTTTCTGGTGCCGTATTTTGGTCTCTGAATCTGTTAAATATTACTGCAAGTGTTCTTATATATTATATTCTCTGTCAGTCATTGGAGATGTCAGAGGCCAAGGCTTAATGGTGGGGATAGAGCTTGTCACTGACAGGAAAGAGAAGACGCCTGCGAAGGCAGAAACCACAGTTTTGTTCGAGAAACTCAGAGGTATCAAGACACCCTCCCAGCTCATAGTATAAATTCTTTCAATGATCCTAAGTTAAATTACAATTATCTCCATGAATTCCTTTCTACATACTAATCATAATTTGGTTATTGATTGAAGAGCTCGGAGTTCTAGTTGGCAAAGGGGGACTACATGGAAATGTTTTTAGGATAAAGCCACCAATGTGTTTTACCAAAGATGATGCAGGTACTTTTTATGTCTTACGCTTGGTATGAATTAGCCCAAATGGTAACTGGAAAGCATTCTATGAGCTGAGAGACAACAGCCTAATCAACACTAGACACACACACACACATTATGTATACATGTGAATATAATAATTATTTTCTCCCTCCCCCCTCCAAGTGCACCCGAGCTCGATTCATGTAGAAGATAATCTTGAGGCAACCCAATATAATACCTCCCCCTCCCCCTCCCTAGCGAATGACAAAAAAGAAGAAAGAAATATAATAATTATTTTCTAATAAGGTCCATAACTTCTGTCCCGAAGAAGGTCCTTCAATGAAGATATGTTTTTCAACTGTTGCATATTGTACATGAATGGTTCATATGCATACTTACTGTGAGCGTGCATTTGGGTGTGCGCGTGTGGTGACATATAACAGATGAAATAATTGTTTTTGGGTTATGTTTTTTTGGTTGAGATACATACTTAGGTTAAACTTTTATGTCTGCAGATTTTCTTGTTGATGCTTTGGACTACTCCATGTCAAAGTTGTGAGGGCTAATACATGAAGAACCAAATGATATTGTGGTTTGTAAAGAACTTTTCAATAATGTATTCCTAGAGTTTGTGCTCATTTTACATGAGAAATAGCAGCTTGGTCATCTCCACGAAGGTGGCTAGCAACTGTTGGATGAAATCGATCCATGTACGAGGAGTGAAGATGCCAATCTGTGCACCAAAATTGATTCCGCTAGCTTATCATCAGAGGCCATTAAGAGAGAGAGATAAGCTGTATGTTTTTCATTGTTAAGGATGGAAGTTGCTAATTTACTAAACCCTTTTTGAGGTCTGGTTTTCCAAAATGTCACCTCAAAGTGGAAAAGTGTTAATAGAGAGCCAACCAACATTCTGTAAATAAGAAAGAAAAATTGTCAGTGCTGCGTAGGTTACTCACACACCTCATGATCCAAAGAGGGTTGTTAAAATTACTTTCCAAGTAGCTTTTCAATTCTTACAGCACAAGTTATAAATAATTATAAGTAACCCCTATGATTATAACTTAAGGGGCCTCTAGATACTCTAGATGGATGTAAAAGGATGTCATTTTACAACTTCCAAATTGGTATCTCGTATAAAAAAATGCAGCATGAAAAGGTAAGCCCGATGTCCTATCAAAAGTAAGCTCACTCTGATAAATTTAGCAATGAAACAGTTGGAGTTGGCTCGCAGCAAAGATTGTGTTCATCGAGTCAAAAACAGCCTTCCAGCCGAAAACATGCATATAGCAAGCTCCGGCAGTCGGAGCTTCCATGCCACTTCTGGTAAAATACTGCAGTGAATCTATAACAGAGCTCAGCTCAAAGCTCTGATTGTAATAAGTAAAAACTATCTTTGATGAAGTCTGCGGTCGGAGCTCCCATACATACCAAAATGCCTTATTTAACTTTTCCGGAACAAGACTCTGGATTTTCAAGAGTGAAGGATTGTTAATATCACAAGTTCAATTATCATTAAGAAATTAATTTGTAATCAGATATCCTCAAAACTAGGAATTAGGTTAACTGAAAAAAGGAAAATAGTTGATACGATTTCAATTCCTTAATTCCCTTATTTTAAGTTTTCCGATTCATGACGGTAAAATACTTGTACAATTTCCAAATCAATTTCTTTCTAGGTTTTGGCCCAAAAGTAAGAAAAGTTATTTTTGGTTGAGAAGATGAAACCAAACGACCAAAAACGTGGCCAAGTCCGTTGCCTTGCCTCTCTCTCTCTCTCTCTCTCACTCCCGTCTCTCTCACTCCCGCTCTATCTCCCCTCTCTCGCTCTCACGCTTCTCTCTCCCTTTCCACTTTCAAACCACAACAAATTCTCTTCTCAATCCTATTCCCCCAACGATAAAATAGAGTTGGAAAGCTGATAAATTTCTTCTGGGTGTTGCAGTGCTCTGCCTCTTCAGTTGGGTTGATCTTGGTATTTTTTTCTCTTGTGCTTGAGGTATGCTTCTTTTGATTTCTGGCTGCTGTTGGTTGGTAGATATGTGTTATTTTTGTTTGAACAATGTGGCAATGACTAGAAGTTTTGGCTTTTCTATTTTCACAATCCTGCTCTTCAATGAATCTGGGCAATTTTTTTTTTTCTTCTTTTAGGTACTTATATGAGCAGGCCAACCAAGAGCTCTTCACTATAAACAATAATAGTGTTATCTTGTGGCCCTAAGTTTTCATAGTCCATTACAGTGGTGTAATCGATTTTGGTTTATATATCCCACGCATTCAATTTGCATCATTAGATGCTTTGATCTGATGCTTACCCGCACTGTGTTGCTGCTTGCTGCTCTCTCTTTCTCTGCCCTCACCTAATCACACTTAACACACATCCCCTCTCCTGGCCTCTTCTAAAATTAATTCTCAACTTTTTCTTCAGAGAAATTAGTAGTCAAGAATCATGTAGCCGACAACACTTCAAGGGAATGTTTGTTAGACCGGACTAGGACAGGGATTGGGCTATTTGGCACCAATCCTGCCTTGAACTAAACGAAGGCTTACTTAGCAACTGGACTAAGTAGGATTAGAAGCTCACTAACTGAGCTTATTTAAAGTGTACGTAATAGATAGCTCCAGCAATACCGGTACTTTAAATGTGATTAATAATTTGGTAAATCCTTATGGGTGAGAATGGTTTAATGTTTGTTGAGTTAGAGAGTTCCAGAATGGATTGGATGAGATACAGATGCATATGCTTTGTTTTTTAACTCTTGGATTTGGATGTTTGGAAGTAATTGCTGCTGCGCTTCTTCTTTTTTTGGGTGGGTGCGTTGGACTGCATTGATGATTAAATCTTGGTTTTCCTCTATTACTCTGTTACATATCCTTTGATTAGTTTTACAGCTCTAATTTGTAATTGAATACTGCAGGGTTCAATTTTAGCTATGTGCCCCTTTGTGTTGTTTGTAATATTCTGGTGGTTTTAGTTTGTAGTGTAATCACAGTTTGCTCAAACTTGTAAGGTGCTACAGACTGATGATAGCCTTCTGGGTAATCATACAAACTGTCATGCATCTAAACTTAGCGATAGATATCTCTTTATTCATTTGGAGATTATATGATATTCACATTTTTCTTTTTCATTATATGTTGGCTTGCTGTAATGCTCCTCATTTTTTCTGTTTGTAAGAAGTGTTGGATGATAATTTCATGACCAATGTCATCATTAGTTCTGTTTTTAACAACTGTTTGATAATTGTTCTGATAAGCAGAGCTGGTCGAGATGGCAAATAGTAAATACGAGTATGTCAAGTCGTATGAAGTCGAAGATGAGGTTTTTCTGCCGAATTTCATTATTGTTCAAATCAACGGCTGTGGTTTTAAGAGGTTTTTAGTCCTTCCCTCTCGTTGCTTGTGTGAGCTTGAGACGACAAGACAATGATTTTCTCCTTTAATTTTCCTTCAGGTTTTCTCAAGTTCATGAGTTTGAGAAGCCAAATGACGAGGTAGCTTTGAATTTGATGAACTCATGCGCCATTTGTGTGTCAGAGGAGTTTCCTGATGTTGTGTTTTTGTACGGATTCAGTGACGAGTACAGGTACTGCAGTTGCGATGTAATCTGTTTATGTTCCATTTATATTAACTTAGTTGTATGAGAGCTTCATTGTGTTGTCTACAGCTTTGTTTTCAAGAAGACATCCAAGTTCTACCAGAGACGTGCCAGGTTTTAATTCTCAACCTTAAATTCATTTTTCTTTGTTTGTGATGCATCTAAGATTGTTGTAACTGTGCTTATTTGCATGTGATTCTTAGGTTGTATTCAATTTCACTTTTGATGAAATAATTTATATGCAAATTGCATGTGCAGCAAAGTAGAGTCCATTATTGTATCTTTCTTCACTTCGGTATATGTGATGAAATGGAGAGAATTCTTTCCTCATAAGGAGTTAAGATACTCCCCTTCATTTCATGCACAGGTTATAAGCTGTGCTTCAATAGAAGTCCTTCAATCATATCTTCTATGGAGACAAACTAATTGTAAGTAGTCTCATAATGCTGTTTTGATTCTGGAAGTTACTATATAGTCATTTTCAAATGACAAGTATCTGATTCAAGAAAAACTTTCAAGTGAATTTTCTATTTACATGTTGTGTTTGCAGGTCATACAAATAACCTACATAACACTTGCCTATGGGAGCTAATTAAATGTGGAAAGACTGAAAGTGAAGCATTGGAGTTATTAAGGGTGAGAAGATTTAATTGTACTTTATGCATTAATTTACTTTTTTAGATGCATGCTTATTTGAGGAAGAGATTATGTTAAACTGTACCATGCGTTCGTCTAGTTATCCTTACAATTTATATTTATTGTTTGTGTCCTTTCCTTTTTAACATTATGTTGTGAGATACTTGTGCTTCAATCTTTTCTTTTCTATTATTGAAAATGGTCTAGTTTTTCACCCATTAAAAATAAATTTTAATTTTCAAATACAGAATGTTGTTGAATTTTGATATTTATAATTCTGTTTTTCACCTATGATTATCTATGTAATATGCAGGGCACTAGTAAGGAAGAAAAAAATGATCTTCTTTTCGGAAATTTTGAGATTAACTACCAGAAATTGAATCCTATGTTCCGACAAGGATCCTGCGTTTTGAAAACTGAGGTTATCTTTCAATTCTGTAGTGAACTCTATATCGTACTGATCTTGGAAATCAAACTTTCCACTTTTGTTTCTAGGAAGTTTTTATTTCAATCTATTGGAAAGGTAGAACTCTTGGGCTTTTTGCTTCCTTAATTTTATCCGTATGATGGAAAATGCTGAAAGAAATAAACCTGCACTTGCATATGCATATTTTAACATTTCTGTTTTATCAGGAATTATAGATGCCTTTAGTAATGTGTTCTAGTTCACGTGACATTATAGATGCATCCTGACTTCTCATGCTGAAATCTTCGTTGTACATTATTCAGGTGATTGACATTGTAAAGCACAGAGAAAATGGCTCTCCTGTCAGGAGACTTAGAAAAAAGTCTAGCATAGTCCATTCAAAGAATGTAGCTGGAAAATGTTTTTGGAACAATCACACTGGTCTTATGAAGGAGCTCGGTAGCTTTACAAATGACATTGGAAAAGTTGAACCGGATTATGTTAGGTCCTTCCAGTTTAAAAAAATACTGATGCCCTCAACTTGGATTGTTATTAGAATTGATGGTTGCCATTTTCACAGGTAAACTATTCCTCACGTGACAACGTAGCTTATTGTGGTTGTTGTTGGTCTAAATGTTTTCTCGTGGGTTGCTAATTATTAAGGGGAGGTGTCCTACAAATGGTTTTCCTAAAATTTTAATAGGTTATAAAATTTACTTCTTCTGTTTAGATCACTTATTGAGAATTTTCCATGTTGGACCATTAAGTGGGTACAACTAAAGTGCTAAGTCATTGTTACACTACAAACCGTATACAACATGGACTATTTAATTTCTACATGGATGCATGTGATTTTGTTGTTAGATTTCATGCTAAGATTCTAGAAATGATACTCAGTGTTTAGCTGTTTGGCTTTTCGAAGGTTTTCAGATGTTCATGAATTTGTGAAGCCGAATGATAAGCAAGCCCTCAACCTTATGAATGCATGTGCAGTAGCTGTTGTAAAAGAGTTTCCAGACATAGTTTTCTCCTATGGAGTTAGTGATGAATACAGGTATAAAATAGATTTTATATCTGAAAGTTGTGATCTATAACATTAGTTTAATTGTTCCTGTTATTTTGCAGCTTTGTTCTGAAGAAGGATTCTCATTTCTATCAAAGGCAAGCAAGGTTTTTCTTCAATCATCTTTCTTATAGTTTCTAAACTTTAGATGCTGTTAATGGATATCCTATATGGAATATAGTTAAATTTGGCTTTGGAGACGAGATGCAAGCCACCAAACACCTAAGAAA